GATTTTCATGTCAGACTAATTTACTTGTAGCTCGTGAAAGCTGGGCCGAAGCGGTAGACAGTGGCCACGCTGTAGACGTGCTATTCTTAGATTTTTCGAAAGCTTTTGACACTGTTCCTTATCTTCGGCTCTCACTAAAGTTGAGATCTTACGGGATATCTGGTCGCGCCCTTCAATGGGTGTCTGCCTTCCTTGAGGGGAGGGAACAGTGCGTACGGGTGGGGCGTAGCCTTTCGCTCAGGCAAGCTGTCCTTAGTAGCGTTCCGCAGGGCTCGGTATTGGGGCCATTGTTGTTCGCGATCTATGTAAATGACTTGCCGGGAGAGCTAGGGGTGTCATCATTAATGTTTGCTGACGACCTTAAGCTCTGGAATATTGTGGATATCACGGGGGGTCCTGAGGCAATTCGGCGTGCCTTGGATAGACTCTGGGAATGGTCTATCTTATGGTTGATGCCCATAAATAGGGCCAAGTGCTCTGTTCTCCGAATCGGAGCTGCTAATCCTCCCACCCGATATGTTCTCGGCGGTGGTGAACTCCCTGTTGTCACTCAGCAGGTTGATTTATGAGTCGTACACGCATCAGCACTTCATTCTGGCGACAACTGGAAGAAGGCTGCTTGTCGAGGGTTTCGTATGATGTGGTTTATCCGCCGCTCTTTCGGAATCTTAACGGCCAAGTTGTTTGTGAAGCTATTTTCGGCATTCGTCCGACCCCACCTGGAATATTGTATTCAGGCTTGTCCACCATGTCTTAACCGAGACAAAATGGACTTGGAGAGGGTGTTACGAGTGGGCACTCGGTTAGTGCAGGGTCTACGGGGACAGACGTATCCTGAACGCTTGCTCAGTTTGGGAATGTACTTAATGCACTACCGAAGGATAAGAGGGGACCTGATTCTCACTTATCGTATTTTGACGGGTAAGATTGGCCCGGACTTGTCAGGGCTTTTTAGTCTCGCTACGTTACCTAGTCTCCGCGGTCACCCACTGAAACTGCATAAACCACGGTCTGATAGGATTAGGACGGAAACTCGTCTATCGAGCCGAGTTATAGATCGCTGGAATTCTCTTCCAGTTCACGTGGTTAGGGAACCTACGGTTAAGGGTTTTGCGCGCCAGCTCGATGCTCTTGGGTGGCAACAGCAAACCTTTCCTTTTTCCTAGCTGACTCACCTTCATTTTTCAGTTCTTTTTTATTGACTCAAATATCTTGGCATTCCACTTGCTTAGCTCTTACCACTTTTTCTTTTGCCTCCTGCGTTTACTTTTTTCTCTTTCTTACTTCACGTAACCGACCCAGCAGGGACTGCTAGGGCAGGATACGTGGACATTAATTGGTTGGACAGGGTGTGATGCGGTCTTTGTTTTAGGTCTATCAGTATTTCAAAGTTCGCCAACTCCTGGTTCAACGACCCGCCGAAGAAGGAACACTCACGGGATCTATCCTATCGTTCCAGTCCCGCTTGAACTTGAACTTGAACTTGCTCGTGAAACCTGGGCTGACGCGGTCGACAACGGTCACGCCATCGACGTGCTTTTCGTTGACTTCTCGACGACTCTCAACGACTTTAATTGAAGTTGAGATGGTATGGGATATCTGAAGCCGCCCTTAAATGGGTTTCTGCTTTCCTAGAGGGCAGAGCACAGTGTGTACGCCTGCGGCGTAGCCTTTCGCTTAGACAAGCTGTTCTTAGTGGTGTTCCGCAGGGCTCGGTTCTAGGGCCGTTGCTTTTCACAATTTATGTCAATGACCTACCCCAGGAGCTTGGAGTACCGTCGCTATTGTTTGCTGATGACCTCAAGCTCTGGAATATTGTGTATATCCTTGGTGGCTCTGAGGCACTTCAGAGTGCCTTGGATAGGCTCTGGGATTGGTCAACCTTATGGTTGATGTCCATACATCAGGCGAAATGTTCTGTCCTCCGCATTGGAGGTGCTATTCCTCCCACGCGCTATGTAGTTGGTGGAAGTAGGCTCCCTGTTGTCATTCAGCAGGTTGATCTAGGTATCACTCATACCTCATTGCTTCACTCTGCGGAAATTGGAGGAAGGCTGCTTGTACAGGGTTCCGTATGATGTGGTTTATTCGCCGCTCCTTCGGTGTCCTAACAACCAATATTTTTGTGAAGCTGTTCTCAGCTTTTGTGCGACCTCACTTAGAGTACTGTATCCAGGCTTGTTCACCTTGTCTGGTAAGGAACAAAACGGAACTGGAGAGGGTTTTGCGAGTGGGTACAAGGTTAGTGCAAGGATTACGGGGGCAAACGTATCCCGAACGTTTGCTTAGCTAGGGTATGTACTCAATGCACTACCGCAGAATTAGAGGAGACTTGATCCGCACTTACCGTATCTTAACGGGTAAGATCGGTCCAGACTTGTCCTGGCTATTTAGTCCCACCAAGTTGCCCAGTCTCCGAAGTCACGCGTTGAAGCTGCACAAACAGCGTTCTGACCGGGTAAGGACGGAAACTCGCTTGTCACGTCGAGTTAGTGAACGTTGGAACTCGCTTCCGGCGCACGTGGTTAGGGAGTCTACGGTAGAGGGTTTCGAGCGTCAGTTAGATGTTCTTGGGTGGCAGTACCAAACGTTCCCCTTCTCCTAACCGACTTGTATCTTCAACTTTCTATTCGTTATTTTTTAATTTTCTTGGTATTACCATTATTTAGCTGACATTCCTCCTCTTGTTTTCTTAGCTTACCCTTCACTCTTTTACTTCACATAAACCGGCCTGACAGGGACTGCTGGGCAGGAAAGTGTGGGCAGTAATTGGTTGAACAGAGTGTGATGCGGTCTTTGTTTTAGGCTTTTCACCATCTCAACCAGACCTGTCAATTCCCGATCCGACGATACGCAAAAGGAGGAACATTCACGGGATTATCCTATCGTTCCGGTCCCAACTGAACTTGAACTTGACATTTGTCCTAAACTCTATGAGTCCCTGCATCGATATACTATATCGGCTATCACTTTTTCCTGTAGCCGCTGCCGTACTTCATTAAACAGTCGACACCTTCATGAAGGACTGCCAATCCTGAGCACTCATTCTACTCCGACTAAGTTTGAAGCTTCCACTGCATTGGACTCTCTTGTTTCATCACCTTTTTCGTCCACACCTAATTCCGGCTCAGCTACCGCCACGGGTAAACGAAGCCGTGTCCCATCTGCTTCGCAATCAGAACCTTTGACACACGCTTTGTCCATTGAGCCCACGACGGAGACATACGCTGCCGTGGTGAGGAAAACCCACGTTCTCAATGGGTCGGAGTCAAACTATATGTAGTGTTCAGGCGAAGTCTAAGTCCAAACCCAAGAAAACTGCTTCCCAGACCAAAAATGAAATTGTTCTCAACAAAGTCAACGAGCTGGAAAAGTTGATCAAGGACAGTGCGTCACCACAGTCACAGGTCTCCGGCCGCGCTCTACTACCCTCTCATGAAAGATGTCTTATCATTATGAACGCCCCAGGATCCACCAAGGACACCTCTGCAGAAAGAATGCTGGATGACCAAGGGTTCCTTGAGCGAATGATTTCCATTTTATTCGATGGTGAATTGGGTATAAACATTATCCCTGTCTTCCGCCTGGGCAGGAAGCAAGAGGATCCTTCTAAGGTAGGCCCTTCCCCAGGATCCTATGCCAAAGCGAAGAGGAATGCCGACGCATCCTCCGGCGAACCCCACGTTTGAAAAGTGAGCCTTCTTACGTCCTGGGAGATCGTTCTCCTTAAGATCGTATTGAAATGAAAACAACCATTGATGAGCTCCGGTCCCGCCGAGCGAATGGTGAGACAGACCTCCACATCGTGGATTTTCGCATAACCCGGAGAACCCCGAGAACCCGGTGGAGGCTAATTCTCCCCCATCCAGGCGAGTAGAGCGTGAGAACGGACTACATGTAATTTTTGCCAATGTGCGCAGTCTGCGAAATGAATTTGATGAGATAGATGCTTGCGTTAGATACTCGCCCAGAAGAACGATTTTGGTACTCATTCAAATCTTTTGGCCCAAAATTCCACCAGAAAGTAAGCGGGGAGATGGCAAATGTTAACGGTTCAATGTGGACAAAAGTTAACTTGACCGGGGGAAATGAAGTCAATTACTAAAAAACTGAGCCTCGTTGGCTCTTCTCGCCTGCTAGGCTGCATTCCACGTGACCCGCCTGTGCATGGCTCTAGACACTTTAGTACATGGCTCGCATTCGGCACCAGTGGCACCTCTGCTTTCGTCTCATATTCAGACTGCCTGTTTAATATGTTTGGTGCTGAGTTTTCTGCCGGGTAGTGGCTAATTATGACATGTGGCAGTGGAAGCTGCCTTATGTTTGCATGACAGCCAGCTGTTTTTGACGATATGTGGACACAAAGTGTAAACGCCTTGGTTCTGAATATTTGCCTAAGGTATTTAGGTCTTACACTGTCACTCTTCTCTTTGCTATTATTCTTCGTTCCGTAACACCGAGGTTGTACGTCAGCGAAGCATCAGTTCAAATGGCTGATGTGCTGCTTTTGATGATGACGCCTGACTTTAGTTTAGACGATCACAAGCATGCCTTGTAACCTGACGATGCGGATTCGAGCCTGCGTGGGGGCTGGGCGACTCTTGCAGTACTCTTAACCCACGTGCGACTGATGGATATTGCACGGCAGCGAAGCATGGATGCTGCGTACTGGCATACTGCTGCTGCCTTATTGATGATGACGAGCGGCCTCTCTCTTCGACCACTGAAAATTATTGGTGAACACTGTTTCCAAGCTATACTTTGATGCCAAAACCCCAAAGGAACAACTCGCTCAAAACAACTTGCCTTTTCGACACCCTTCTCTATTATTCCGGATAAGTCCGAGGATGAGTCCGAGGATGTTTTCCTGGCATCGTAAGATCATTGAGGTCCAGTTAGGCGGCTATCATTACTTTCTTTTCCTCTCCTCTTCCTGTTGCACTACCAACACTTGAATCCCATGTTCCTTCTGTGACTTTCCTCTCCATTTATTCCTCACAGCCATAATCATCTCTCGATAGTTGTGCTAATGACATCCAGTTACACCTTCCGTCCATCTCGGTCTTTTGATGGATGGTTATGATTACGGTATGTGGTCAATTACGAGATATATTTTAGATTCCAGCCTCACAGGCCTGTCGCAATGTACGTTGCGCATTTAGCACGGGAAAGCTCGGAATCCCGAATCTGACGCATACTGCAGCTGCGCACCCCTTCACTCGGATATACTCGAGGGCTAATCCCTGAATGAAATGTGCGGTATTGCCGTTGTTATCGCACCTTCCGGCCAGGTGAGAATTCTAGTTTTACCTACTTGATCGGTTTCTGGTCACATTAGATGTGTTTGGCACCCGTGGTAATTTTTTCGCCTGCTTATATCCATCAGAGAATGATGCCACATTTGTTTATAAGAACCAGATAACAAATCCATTTGATTGGTTTCGTTACTTTTTGTTGTAGTTTCAATCCACATGCCGACAATTGACATCAGTTTTTTTACTTTAAAGAACGATTTGTGTTTTTCAATCGCTTTTGTGCACTGCTTTATTAATTTTCAGCTACGATGCAGTTCGCGAGCTACATGAATCCCGTAAGCCGGTTTATGGACTCCATTATTGGATGGCCTTCGTACATTTTCATTCTTCTACGTGCAAAATGTTGGAGTGACCCTATTAGAGCGATCATTATACACTATAAATTGCTGATTTTCCTGTCATAATTCCAAACTTCAAAGCGCTTTCAGTTTTCCGTTGAATGGCGAATTCTCCCGTGGTTTTCAACTCGGGACTTTTTCCTTCCTTTGGCTAATGTCTGATTTCCGCCTCCTGCTCGACGGATTTAACTCGCACTGCACTCTTTATCCACTGCAACGCTTTTGTTTGATTCTGTCTACTTTATTCACTGTAATCCCCTTTTTCAATGCACTTAGTTTTTCTTATGTAACGATGATGCAACGTAATTTGCCACCCGTGACTGCTTGTGCATTTATTATAGACTGCGTTGTGTACTCTCTGTAGTCAGCATCCTAATGGATGTGCAACAGTTTCGCTTGCCGAACAACCACCTCATGATACCAGCTGCGTGGTTCGAGATTATTCCGTTCTAGCGAATGGTTTGGCGACAGTGTTTGCAGGACGTGGTACGGTTTTGCCTGGCAAGCGTTTTCCTTATAAAAAGCCATATGTCTGTTTGACAACACTGTTACATAGTGGATTTGATTTGCCACTAAATAAAGTTAATTTCCCTTGCCTCGCAACCGACACCCAGTGGCGCGTCACTGCCGTCTGCTAATCGGATTACCTGTTAAAAGTATGTATAGTGCTGAGTTGTCTGCGGGTTAATGGCTGATTATGACGCGGGGCAGTGAAAGCCGCAAGGAAGCTGTCTCGCCGATGCTGCCTTATCTTTGCACGATAGCCAGCTGTTTGCGACGGTTTGTTGTATACACAAGGTAACCGGATAGCAAGGATCCAATACCGTCAGAAAGATGACCTCTCTGGCAAACCCAGACCTCGAATTCCACTTGCGCCTTTTCAGAAACCCGGAGATTGTTGCTTCTGGCCAGGCTGGTGTTAAAGTTGCACTGACTGACAGGGCTGAAATGGCTCTGCTTCACTGGATCCCAGTCACCAGTCGGCTATGTGCAGTGAAACTGCAAGCTTCATGCGAATAAGCGTCGAGATGTGCAGCGTGCCTTATTTTTCGTCTCCGCCTACGCTCCTACAGACTGTAGCCTGGATACAGTCAAGGATCGCTTTTACCAGTAACTACATAACTTTCTGCGTTCCTCCCATAAGTCTGATACCATTCTTTTCGGACACGTTAACGCACGAGTGGGCCATCTGCCACCAAGTGAACATCATGTTGGATGTGGTTTTTGCCTCGGTTACAGTCGATCAAACAATGGAAGTGGAGCATTGACTCTTTGTTCTGATCATTGCGCATTTCTTTCGAGCACAACTTCTCGGCACTCGCAGCGACAGATTTCTACCCAGCACCCAGCTTCATAAATGCAAATGTGGTCCCAGGTTAACCACAAGACAATGAGCTGCAGCTGAAAAGGAAGCGTAACACACTGTTTTTCATACTGATCAATTTGTCTGGACTCCGATCACGTATCGATTACTGCTAGGATTTGTATGCACGCCGGAAGATCACCCAGACGTACATATTACCGATCACACATCGAAAATCTACGAAATCCAACGACGGCCACTTACCAATCCTATCTGTCATTACTGCTTGCCTCTTCTGAGGTTGATTTAAATCCACAATGGATGTGCATCAAAGGCGCGTTAATTTCTACCAATATTGATAGTCGTGGAGTTGCCTGTCACCCGCCGAAAAGCGGAATCACCGCTGTCTCCTTGTCGCTGACAAACACGCGACTCTGTCACGCCCGACGCTAGCTGTAACGAAGATTGCTGATCTCTGGATCGAGAATTGCGCATGAGTTTACTAAAGGACCATGTGGCCTAGTGATATGAACATAATAGAGAGATGGAGCTTGCTAGACTCTGGTAATACCAGTAAACTTTTCCACCTCATCCGAGTCACCGAAGGCTTCCGGTCTGGAGTAGGCGAAATAATCTGGAAGGAGGACTGCTCCTTAACCACAAATCTTCATCGATGGTTGCAGCCATGGGCTGAATGTTTTGCTGACCGCCAGCTCCACCCGTTTCCTCTGTGGCGCGCACTGGTGTTGTGTAGTCTATCCCTGTCGGCCATCCCTCTCACCAGTAAATCTGGTAGGAACTCCGCCGTCCGAAGCGTTATAAAGCATTCGGCTCTGATGCTTTACCTCCTGACTTATTTAAAAATGTAAGTTAGTCGCTGGTTCTAGAACTCGGAATTCTGTGCAAAAGAGGTTCCATCGTCTTGGTGTGAGCTGATAGTCGTCACCATTTTCAATGTGCTCCAACTACTCGATGTATAAGTTTGATTCCCATCGTTTGCAAGCTTTTGGTGTCCATCATACTTCGCAGGCTATCTCGAATGCGCAAATCGATACAGTGAAAAGAACAAGTTGGATTCCGTTCTGGTCGCGGCTGCATCGATCAAATTGTCACACTCCGCCAGATCTTCTAGCTCCGCTATGTGTATCACAATTCAACGATTGTTGTGTCTTCGAATATCTGTGCTGCCTTCGATCCTGTCTACAGGAATGCATTGTGGCATTGTTTATTGAGAAATGGCATCTCCGGGGAGTTTGTTTCCATACTGCGTGCTATGTGCAGTCTGACCTCGGCTAGAGCCAGGGCTTATGGTAACCTTTCGTCATCCTTTGTCGTCACCAGCGGGGATAGACAAGAATGCCCATCTCCCCATTCCTCTTCTCATTAAGGATGTCCTCAAAACTGCTCTCGAAGATTAATTGAACTCTAGTGCTGAACTCTTCCTACTTAGTCGAGTTGATCTGGACTACGTTAATGACGGACCACGGGCGGTCCAACTTGCACTCAACTGCTGGGTGATTGAAGGTATGCACCTTTCCCCATCGAATTGCAAAGCCCTCTTTCATGACCGGCAGGTGCTTATGCGTGCACCCACTCGTGGTAGTGAGACACTGGAGATTGTGAAGTGGTTTGTTTACTTTGTCAGCTGCATCACTGCTGACTTCGATGCGCATCTCAAAAGCTCGTCTTACTTTCTCCGGGCCGAAACACACGTAGTGCCACCATGATATCTGTCTCTAACGAAGGACGAGTTCTTTTTGTGACGGTTAACGCTGTACTGTTGCACAGTTGCAAGGCTTCGCCTGTTCGTACCGTTGACCATACGCCACACATGACCGAGACACCTCAGGTGTCTCAGTAAAAGTATGCAGTCCACTGCCTACATTCCACTTCGGCGCAACACTTCCCTATCTGCTACTCTGTCGCACCAACCGATGCGCATAATCCGTCTCAAACATTGTTGATGAAAGCGCTCGAGATGTCGCACATCCCGCCAGCAAATCGTCCAGGTTTCGCTGCCGCATAGAATAACGGACAGCACCATGAGTTTGTACACCATCAAGTTCGTGCCAACGGTAAGCTGATGGTTGTTCCACACTCGGTACTCTAGCTTCCCCAATGCCACCGCTGCCTTCGAGACGCGGATACGAAGCTCACTGTAGCTGTTGGCCAGTCGATATTACTGTCCCAAGGTGGCAGAAGCGGGAGGTGGTTTCCAGTACTTCAGCACCAATGCTGATTCGCGGCATTATTGAAGATTGCACCTCCGGTGAGGGCTGAAAGAGACAGACAGCTTTGCTTGTGTTGATGGTGAGCTTGAATTTGGTCGCTGTCGGAGCCAGAGCACTAGTCATATGCTGCAACGATGGATGTTCAGCAACCCACCATAAATACAGTGCTCCATATTAACACCGTAAACACAAGCTGCATCGAAAGCACGACATCATTGCATGAAGATAAATACTAAACAGAGCAGGAACTAAGGCTGTCTTGCTTCACAGCAGACACAACTGCAAACACCATATCTATAGTGCTGCGACCCGAACGGAATCCACACTGCTCTTCCGCCATGTTCGGTTCCACAACCTGACTGACGAGGCGGTTGGGCATGATTCGGTCAATCATCTTGCCCACACAACTCATTAAGTTGTTGCCACGATAATTCGTGCAACATTGCTTGCTCTTTTTGCCCTTGTACGGTGGTAGCACAAGGGCATCCTTCAACTCAGGAGGCACCTCCTCCTCAATCCACACACGTTGCACCAAGTGGTGCAGCGCAGTCACTAACGCGAGTCTACCGTGTTTCAGCACTTCAGGCGGGATCCCGTCGGCAGCGGCACACTTGCTGTTTCGCAGTTGAGCAAGTGCTCTCTGCGTCTCATCTAGTGTCGGCGTGTCCGCCAAATTTGCCTTCATTTCATGCTGCTTCAGGCCGTTCAAAGTAGACCTGTCGATCTCTGAACGGTTGTTCAAAAGACAATCAAAGTGTTTTTGCCAGATCTGCATCTGCCAGATCTGATTTAATCCCGACATCTGGCCGTTGCTATTTTTTATTATTCTTGCGATATGAGTCGTGGCAACTGGATCCACCACACCGATGCTCGGATCCTACTTGTTCAGCTGCACTAAATGGAGGTCTCTTTCAGAGCTTTGACCTGTTTCTTCGGACCCAAAATTTTTCATTAAGTGATATTTCTGTAGATTCTGTTGCAGTATTGTAAGCTGCAAAATCGCTTGGGTCTCGAGTAACGCGTAACAACTCCCGTGTCCAATTCGAAACCAAACTGTGAAGGTAACTGCAGTAATATTCAAAGAAAATTGAAGTGCAGTATGGGCATCCCTCAATAGTATTCGTTCAGCACTGAAACAATTGAGTCTTTACTAGATACAGAAAGAATGCACATCACCGTAAACGCCACAATAAAACAGGGTCACACAACACGGGCTTCGCGATCGGAATCCAGCGGCTTTTTTACTACGCCAGGTAACCCTGCTCGATTGGTTCGCTATACAGCGCATAAATGGTGGTGGGTGTAATGTGTCTTGGGGGAAATCTGGGCTGAAAGGCATAACAAGTGGGGATGTGCTCCTGTGGCTGGAGAATAGATGAAGTAGGTATGTGGGGACGTCTGGACAAGTTACACCGTGGGAGCGATCATTTCCAGCATTGGGGTTAGAGCGAATTGAAATTACCCAATAGTCAGTAGGCGCAAGTGCCAGATAAGATTATTCAGGGTAAAACCTCGATACTCATTGAGTGGAGGGACATTTTGGACTAAACCTGGCGAAGCTATACGCTCTCGGGCGCGTCCCCAAGTTGCGGGTTGGGGAATGCCTTCCTTGTAGAGGTAACTGCGAATATGTCCCGTTTGCCTTGCAGGCAAGATGAATAAGCAGCCGTGGACAATCAGCGTCAGCGTCCCAGAGCGTGGGGAGTTCTGGACTGGTCACCTGGTTCTTCATTAAATACCCCAAGAATTCGTACGGCGCTGTGTCAAAGCCAATGTGACCAGCTATAGGGTCACTGACCACTCACTTCTGTAACTAGAGATGAGTATATAACGGAGAGCGGATGAACAACCTTGCTACCTACCGTCTTCTCTGTTTACTGCTACTGAACACAAAGAAGACGAATGAGCCACTCGAATGTCAACGGTCTTCCTTAACCGGCCCGCTGCCTTGCGGGTTTGGTCTTAAGACCAAAGGCTCGGTGTGGGGTGCCTTAAGCCGATCCTCTTCATCGGCCTGGGCAACTGGGATGATCTCTGCCAACCCAATACGTTAACCTTCTAAACTTTCCAAACCCTTTCACTGACTTCCCGTTTCCCCCCTTTTTGTTGTTGTTAACCGTGTTGTGGCACTGCTAATTGTACATCGGTCAAGTGTTGAATGTATATATCTGTAATGTAAAATATGCGTGATGCAAATTGCAATGAGACCATGGAGCATCGCATAGGTAGTCACACGGGATAGACAAATAGTTGGTACCCGGAGTCCCAGCAGATGGCGTAAGTAGTGTGTTTATTATGCATATGATCCTGGCATCCAACTTGTCGATTACCTTTTTACCACTAACACTGTCCCAAATTCGAAGGATTTTCTTCGTATTGAGTATCCGTTGGTTTCTTGTTCTGGTTCGCCCTACTCCCGCTCCATATGCTATGGGAAAATACAGGACTTATGACGGTACGCTTGCACTTTCCCAGTTCTACATGTTAAACTCACTGTATTCCTCCCTAGAGCAGCAGATCCGAAGATCCAACTCCACCTGCGGAGAGTCAACTACACCTACCTTTGGCTGTCAGCAGGTTTCTGGTGGGCGCTGCAAGCACCAACTTATCTTGGATGGAGATACAATGCTCCAAATGATTTAACTCCCTCCATCTACCTGTGCCAGTCCTCGGTTTTATCCGCTACTAGCTTAATGGGTATTAATTCATTTTCCAATGGGTTAACAGAAGATATTACCCTAGACAGTTACTCCACTTCGTTGAACCTTACGTTCTCTCCGTTGTCTGAGTCAAAACTGATCTTTACCAAATCATCTGGGTCCATCAGGCCATCCACGAGCAGCACGATAACACGAGTCATTGAAGCAATGAACAATTCCTTTTCAACACAATCAGCTCCTATTGAGCTATATTACTTGTGATCCTGTGCGGGCCGTTGCAGAGCAATTAGACAATTATGGGAGGGCTTCAGAACCCACAAGCCGATCGATTCACCTTGGGCCTCCGGATCCGTACAGAGGCAATTATCTTCTGGCACGTCAAGCTCAGTGAAGACTATGTCAGCACCAACTGACTGATCAGTCAAACTTTTAATGACCCACGGAGCGCATAACTTCCTTTCCTGTTTCTCTGTACATTGCAGCACTGAACTAAATAAGCTGGTCATTCGATTTCCCTGCGTACGGTTGAATGACAGGCAGGCTAACATACGCTAGTGTATCAGCTATCCAGAAGCTTGTCTCCACATCAGTGCACGATGCCGGCTTGTGACACTCGGCAGTGTCCGAAGGGTCTTCCAGTGTCGCCGCATCACATTCGTCATGTCAAATCCGCTGTCCAACAATGCGTGCGATACAACAGTTCCCACAGGCCCTTCTAATCACACAGGAACTAATCGAAGCGGAACTTCCTGTCGCGAGTGGGAGGCAGTGCAACATAGACCAGGTTCGTGTAACTGATATTCCTTGCACTCTAAATGTCTTCCCTTGCAGCCTTACTGGTCACATCCTACGCTCGAACTGCGCGAGGCAGCAAAGTAATCTTCTCTGAGGCACGCATAATATCCTCTCCTCTATTAGTCCACTCCGATCCGACACTATATCAGCCAAGAACCTTTGACACGGCGGTGTTGGATTGGCCGTAACAGGCCAAGCAGCGAGCTTTTGACAGTACAGTGGTTAGTCTCAGCGGCACACGGAGAATGTCGAATATCGCGTGCTAGACTGCCGGGCCTCGGGCGCTGCAGCGATCTAACCAAATCTGCTACGCATTATGCGGGCCTCTGAAAAAACGAAATTTGTCAAATCCTTGAACGTGACTTCACTACCTTGTTGTACATTGAAATCGGATACTCTCACCCATCTCAACTGAAGGCTGTTAGGTAAGGCACGGACCACTCGTTCGATAGTACCTACGATGTCTAACTCTGCGGCGAATCTCATTTGCGACGAAGCGATGTAACTACTCTCCATTTTTATAGACAAACTCTACAGGACGTCATGGTCGTGAGCAAGATATTTCAAACCAGATAGATGATCATCATTCAGGGATCTAGCAGCGACGTAGCTCTGGCTGTACAGATCATGGAGAATTCCCCTAGCCTTTTCGTAGGCCTCTTCTGGTGGTAATATCACGCAGTCGCTGATGGCTTCCTTAGCGCGGTCTTTTCAATAATCAATCAAATAAGACAACTTCTGGCCTCTATCGCATACCGAACCTTCAGCAAAATCGTCAAACTTCCGCAAATCTTTAGGAGCAACAAGATTTTCACCAAAACACTCCAGCTCTACTCTTGATAAGTATACTAGACGATGTAGACCTCTTGCCTACCTTAACCTATGTCTCCGTTGGCATGTATCTGCGACAATCTTTCGTGAACCGCTTTAACTATTCATTATGCGCAATTGGCAACCGAGTAATAACAGTGGTCTCCTTGGTGTAAACAACATCTAGCTCCAGGTACAACTTAGCCTACTTAAAATTGAGTGCCGCAAGTTCCATAGTAACTCCTGTCATCCTTTAGGCGGCAAAAGCATTGTGTGAATCCAAACTACACCTGCACTTTGTACTGGCATATGTCTCAGAGCAAGAAACCAAATCAACGACTTTCAACTTGCTGTGGGTATTTGCTTCAAAACGGCTCCAGGTTTGAGACACCGGTTCGAATGAGCCTGAGTTTTGATTTGAACCCTGGAGTTTTACGCGTTGCTTAAGACCAAAGCGATTTTGTCAATTACAACTATGATAACGCTCTTTTTACTCGTGCCTCTTGTTGAGTGGCTACGAGCACTTCTGACTGCTACATATGCGACGACAGTTACTCGTGTACATGCTCTGGCATATTTACATCTTGTTGCTTGTGATCTGTCTGACGCGGGACGAGCGACATAAAATAAATAAGCGGTGGTCATCTTCTGCTCCTGTTAAGTCAGCTGTTGACACTTATAACCAGTAAATCACCATTTCCTATTTTTGGACCTTAATAGTAGGATCTATCAACCTTCCAGCAACCACTAATGCTTGTGGATTTGAGAGTATTTTACCCTAATCGTGATTGGTCATTCTCGGGTAATTAGTTCTGCGAAATCATCTGGGAAGTACCGCGCATTGGGGCTCAGTTGTGAACTGCGATATGATAATCGTCGTGCTGAGTTTCACCATATTAAATTACCAGCAACATCTCTGTGATCTTCCCTCTGACACGCCTTACGGCCTTCAAAGTGGATTCACTTTCCCTCATGCGTGTTGTCTCACGGTCCTAAGCGATAACATTTAACTGATGCTTGGTTCGTGCACTACATTTCTTAACTGATTACCGCTGTTTTACTTGGTGTTTTGTTTTCCTTCACACATGTAGTCCTGCCTTATGTCTTCACCTTTTGATTGTTTCACTTTTTCAAACCATAGTCACAGCCAACGAACTCAGGAATTGAACATTTCCAATCGCTGGTTGGCTGCGACTGCGGCACGCTATTACGTCGTGGTCCAGATTCATGGTTTCAGACATCAATAACTCCCTTTGGTCTCAGTTCGTCTCCAGTTCAGCTTCTTTTGCTTGGAAGCGTGCTCTCACAGCGCGGTAATTCAACCACGTTGCAACCCCTGCATTCTGAGTCCACACGCAACGGTTCCACTTATGCCCTTCTATGGAATGGCGAAATTTATGCTCACACAGAAGAACATACCAATTCACTGTTTATCAATCCATGCAACAATGATGGTGAGGTGCTCCTATCGTTACTCGCTCAGACAGCAGATCAAGCGCATGTTCTTAGCCAGTTCAGTTCCTTGTTTGGACCGTTCGCATTTATACTGCTTGAGGTAAGCGGATGTCGTTTTTATTTGTCATTTCTGCACCTGCACTACAGAGTTCACTCTCACCTCCTACCTCTGACTGTTGTATCTCTCCATCTACGCTTTCTCTTCCATTTTTCCATGCAAGAAACTAAGACATTAGATCTTCATGTGTTGGCGGTTTCGCACTGGTCGATGGTTATGATCGTGAGCAATTCAGTACTCACAGCAGGTTGGGGGGTAGTCGGTGCCTCTATACTCTCCAAACTTAATTGCAGTAGTTCGGTTTATCCACTGCGATCTGTGGACTGTTGCAATGACTCAGGTTACCCGTCGCTAAAGAGAGCAGAACGAACAGCATTTGTGCGGGATAACCTGAATTCAGATTATTTCCTGTCTTCTTATTCAGCCGCTTACAGATAAATCGTGAAAAGAGTAAAGGAATGCAATTGAAAAAGGGGGTCATTAGGAAAATCAATAACACACTGAGAAAATCAAGGTCCTTGCCTGCGTCTTACCAGGGCAAGACAAGACTAACCACAAGGTCTACCTGTTTGCAAAGGTTTGGTTTCATTCATCGGATGGCCGAGGCTTCAGCGAAACGAAGCAAGCTCGCGTTGTTTTGTCTGCTGATAGCCTTGAATGCGTCACATGGGTTTTCACACAAGGTACAATCAAGCAGATGCTGAGCGATGGAGCTGGCAGGGAGTTTAGGTCCATTATTTGCCAGGTTCCGTGGAACAAACCAAACCAAACCTTTGCAAACAGGTAGACCTTGTGGCCAGTCTTGCCTTGCCCTGGTAAGACGCAGGCAATGACCTTGATTTTCTCAGTGTTTTATTGATATTCCTATTGACCCCCTTTTCAATTGCATTCTTTTACTCTTTCCACGATTTGTCTGTAAGCGGCTGAATGAGAAGACAGGAAATAATCTGAATTCAGGTTATCCCGCATAAATACTGTTCGTTCTTGCTCTCTTAAAATTCTGAAGGGAAATGGCTGCATGAAACTATGGTACTGTTAGATCTTCACTTTTTGTCGCTATTCCGAGTTAAACACCCAAACATTTCTCCGCAAAAATTCTAGCCCAGCCGAAGGAAAATCATAATTCCAACGACCTTGATCACGAAAAATGTGTTAACAAAAACGCTGCCAACGTAACTAAAAATGCCGCCAAAACGCTACACCACTACGCCAGACCTATACCAAATATACTGGGGGCACAATGATCTTCGGCTACTAGAAAACGAACGTCAACTGGTTAAATTAGTAGCCTCCCTGCCAAAACTCCGTATGTTGGCGCTCACGTGATGGAATGGAAGGTTCCGGAATCTTCGAAATCAATGCACGATCGAAGATAATCGATTAATTGCTAAAATAATGGTTTTTCCTTGTGTTTTTCCCTTTTCCCGCATACCTTCTGAAACGGCTGTCGCGGTGTATGATGCTAGCCTGGGATTGACCTGAATCCTCCTGGAAGGGGTTCTACGCCTGTCGGTCCATCGCCTTGACTGTAGTGTTCTAGATTCAAATTCTGTGCTCTGCGGTCTGGTATCACTCGTCTGATGACAGGATTTTTCTACGGGTTGGTTAGGCAAGTTGAAACTGTCTGTCAACAGGTCAAATGGAAGCTCGGCGGATACTGTTGCTTGTGGCTGACACATTGTTGGTCACAGTTGGTTTGCATGGCGTACCCATACCTGCGTTCCAACCAGCATGTCGTAAATGACGCTCCCGCGATTGCCCTGGATCGTTCCTGACGTCCATTTTGCGTGTCCATCCCGATAATCACGTACACGTACTGGCTGACCCGGTTTAAACGAACATCGCTTAGCACCGTACCGCCGATTAAAGTCACGTTCCGTCTTGAAGTTGCTTTCACCAGTTATGGGCTCTGAGGACGGCCGAACTGCATCAAATGACATGCGAAATTTTCTCTTCATCATTGACTCTGCTGGTGATAATCCACCCGGCTTTTGTGGATTTTGTGTAGATCGGCGCAGAAAGAAAAGCGGTCGATCACCTCCTCTATGTTTCCATCCCTCCTTGATTTGAGGAGAGCGCGTTTGCATGTATCTACAAACCTCTCCGCTTAGCCATTCGATTGGAGAATGGAATGGTGGAAACCGCATGTGTTTAATAGCGCAGCGTTGGCAGGATTCCGTGGATGTGGCCGAAGTAAACTGTGCTCCGTTGTCCGTCCGCAATGTTTCAGGGCAGCCGAACTTGCTGAAGATTTGTCGCAACCTCGAGACTGTTGCGCTGGTTTTCGTGCTTCTCATGAGGGACACTTCGGGCCACTTGCTGTAAGCGTTGATCACTATGAGAAAGTTCTGGCCATTGATTGGGCCTGAGTTCAGTCTTCGGTGGTGCCCTTGAAGCGGTAGCGCAGTTGCCACAACTTCTAGCTAGCTGCTCCAGCTGTCTGTCCATAAACGGCCAATACACAACTTCGGGCAACACTTTCATTCGGTTGAGCCATGGATGTCCTGCATAGAACTGCCGCAGCACTCTTTCTTACAACGCCTGCGGGATGACTACTCTCTCTGAAAACATGGCGCAATCGTTCACATCGATAGAACTGATAGAACTGCTGCATTTCGGCAGATGAACACGAACGTGGCTAGCTGGTTCTGTGGAAGTGTGTCACCTACTTCAGGATTGGGTCTCGAAGCGTGTTGGCCCGCACAGCATCGACTCACCAGGAATTTGACATCAGGTTCGATTTCAACTGAAGGAATGATGGTGTCCTCGTGTTCTTGCTGCTGGGAATCAATGAGGCGTGACAACGTATCTGCCTGGCCCATCGAATCCGTTGACTGATAAGAGATTTCAAAATCATAGCCCAGTAAGGTCGGCCGGTGGCCGAGTGGTTGGCACGTTTGCTTTCCAACCATAAGGTCACCGGTTCGAATCCGCGTAGGGGTGGGCGTCCTCGCGGTATACTCAGCCCGCGCGCGACTGGTGGTGGTCGCGCGGCAGCGAAGCGCCGTTACGGCGTATAAGCTGACACATTTTCAAGGTGAGTGCCCATCGTTGGACTCGATTGGCTGTATAGGCAGGAATTCCCTTCTTCGAGCTGAAAATGGTCAGCAGCGGCTTGTGATTCGTCAAGAGTTTGAAACGGCGACCATACAACATATTGTGAAATTTCTTCACAGCAAACACTATGGCCAATGCCTCTTTCTCGATCTGACTGTAGTTTCTTTCGGCTTTCGTCAGTGTCCTGGCGGCATGTGCGATCGCCTTCTGAGATCCATCTGGGAACGTATGAGGGACTACGGCACCGATCCCTAGACTCCATGCGTCTGTGGCAAGGACAGTTTCTCGGGAGGGATCAAAGTGAGTTAGGAGTAGGTCTGAAGCCAGAAATGACTTGACCCGCTCGAACGCAGTCTGACATTCTGGCGTCCAATTCCAGGTTTGGCCCTTTCTCAGCAACTTATTCAGCGGGGCACGCAGGCGATGCAGTTCGGGAAGAAAGGCGCTGTAATGACTGTTTAGGCCACAGAATGAATGCAGCGATTGCAAGTCCGTAGGTGGGGGGCATCTTTTGAATAGCTCGGATATTTTCTGAATCAGGGCGACGACCGTCTTTTGAGCAAATAAAGCCGAAAAACTTGATGGTTGGTGTAAAAATAGGTACACTTGTCTTCGCGGATACGGAAACTATATGACTGGATACGTACAAGCACTTCAGCGAGCCGCTGAAATAGTTCTCCGTCCGACCCATTAAAATGATATCATCCAGGTACGCCGCGGCTCCAGAAACTCCTGCGAGCATGGTGTTCATCAGCTGCTGGAAGATAGCTAGTGCTGTTTTCACTCCAAAAGAGAGGCGGTTTTACTGGTACAAGCCACGATGAGTGTTGATGGTCAGCAATTCTCTTGAGCTTCCACCAACCTCTACCTGGAGGTAGGCATCGGACAAGTCGAGCTTGGCGAAGCACTTCCCACCATTCAGCTTGGTAAAGATATCCTCTGGTATCGGGTATTGATGGTCGTCCAATGCGGCATTCAGGCCAGTCGAAAAATCGGCACAGATACACACTTTACCGTTCGGCTTTCTCATAGCAACAATCGGCGCAGCCCATGAAGTGTAGTTCACTGGTGTGATGACACGGGCTCGTTCCAGTCGGTCGAGCTCCTGATCAACTGCTTCCATGGCTGCTTACGGTACCGGTCTTTTTGCCCTGAAGACTGGATTGGTTCCTTCGCGAAGGCATAACTTTGCTTTGAACTTAGTGCAGTGGCCGAGACCATTTTCAAACAAGGCGGCAAACTTCTGCTTTAGCTTTCTCGTCATGTCTTATATCGACAATGATGCATGGACTGGGTCTGTTTGGAGTCTATTGCAAATCTGATTCAATGGAACATCAAACACTTGTAACTTTTCCATCCAGTCAAGTCCAAAGTGGTTCAAGTTTGGTCGGTCAGACAAGTAGCAGGTTCCGGCCTGTTCCACTCCGTTGAATGCAATTTTGCGATTTATTTCTCCGATCAGCTTCAGCACTCCACCGGATGCGTTGTGGGCGATCTTGTTGGAATCAACCATCTTCGGCTACTTTATGTGCTTCCAAGTATTTTTGGAAATGATCGTTATATGTGATACCGTATCAACTTCAGCCGGGTTGGGATTCCGTTGATAAACACGGTGATAAATCGGCGGCGTGTTCTAGAATCGCTGTGAAACGTGGCAATCACCGATAGTAATTCGGCGTCAGGCTTCTTGAAGTTCTTCCTTCGGTAGGACTGCCCCACGTTTCTTGGCCGAGACTGATGGCAAACGTCTTTCTTGTGGCCGCGTTTATGGCACTTATCACAAATGTGACGCTTGAATGGACAGTATCGTGCGAAATGCCATTCACCACATGACCAACAAGGTTTAGGCGGCTTGTTCGTCGTTCTCTTGAACGGCTTGTTCGAGCCAGCCTTTCTTGCTTTTTGCACAGCATGAACAGTATCGGCAATGCTGGAGCGACTCTGCTCAATCATAGCGGTGTCGTGTTTCAAAGTAATCAACCGTTTGCATTCGCCTACAAGAGACTTCAATGTCGAATCTGGATCTTGGTCCAACTTAGCAAGGAGCCGAGTGCGGATTTCCGCGTCGCGTGGTGACTGTAAAGCACTGACAAATACAAGACACTTAGACTGGTCATCCGCAAAACAGCGTAACTTGAAACGTTCACATTCACGGTTAACCATGTCTGTTAGTGCCCCATAATCGTCTGTATCAAGCTTAACAATTTTTAGACATTGATAGCGAATGCTAAACAAAGACGTTGACTCACCAAAAATTTCTTTGAGTGTTGCCACTGCTTCGTTGAAAGGGATGTCCTTCGGCTTTTTGGGCAGGATGTGGTCAACGAATCTTGTATGTTCATTAGTACGAGCTTGCGGAGCAAAAGACGTACTTTCCATGAATCATCTTGACGGCTGAAATCCTTCCGGAACATGTCCTCCCAGCGTTTGAACCGCGCCTCCAAAGTGCATTCAGAATCAGCATCATAATGAAATTCAGTGATTAAATTCAAAAGAAGATCAAGTAAAACAGCCTGTGTGTCCCGTGTAGCTGCTCCGTCTGATTGTACGTTCAAGCACTGCGTCAAACTTTCAATCAGTTTCATTTGTGTTTCCATTTGGGATTGTTGCTGAAGAAGCAGGTTTTGAAAATGTTCGGCGGAAAAGTTTGTAACATTTTCGTGCATGTCCGTCGCCATTGTTAGATCTTCACTTTTTCGCGCTATTCCGAGTTAAACACCCAAACATTTCTCCGCAAAAATTCTAGCCCAGCCGAAGGAAAATCATAATTCCAACGACCTTGATCACGAAAAATGTGTTAACAAAAACGCTGCCAACGTAACTAAAAATGCCGCCAAAACGCTACACCACTACGCCAGACCTATATCAAATATATTGGGGGCACAATGATCTTCGGCTTCTAGAAAACGAACGTCAACTGGTAAAATTAGTAGCCTCCCTGCCAAAACTCCGTATGTTGGCGCTCACGTGATGGAATGGAAGGTTCCGGAATCTTCGAAATCAATGCACGATCGAAGATAATCGATTACTTACTACAATAATGGTTTTTCTTTATGTTTTTACCTTTTTTCGGATGGGTACTTTGGGTGGAATGGGTACGAAATATGATAACCGGGCGGATCGGTCAAGACTTAACAATAAGGGAACGCACGGAACAGCGCCCACTGTCTTTGTGTCACGCTTTACCAAAAAGTGTATAAATCCGCTGATGCAGTTGCTCTTGAGCCCTTCATCTCGCAATCTCAGCCAGCCAGCCAGCCGGCCAGCAACAACAAAGGAAAACAACCGAAAACAACAACGACGACCAGATTCAATCTTTTGGTGGGGTTCTTCATGTTCATCTACCATATTATTATCTAACCACCACGGATTTCCACACTTCTAATTAAGGTATTGGCAAACGGCGCGCGCTGAGGCAGACGACCGGCTGACATGCGGAGCACATTACCGAGTGATTGAAAACCATTCTAATTCAACTGACATTACAACTTGACTGGTTGCCAAGCGCCAGTTGACGAACTTCAGCGTTACTAATTCCGTTCTCCTATCATACATGAGCAATGCCGAGCCACCGTCTGTGCTCTCCTCAGCCTTTCCTAGCGCAGTAGTCAAGTCTCTAATCAATCCACCACTATATCCTGCTGCCTCTGTAAGTGATTAGGGCTATGGAAAATCACACAAACCTAAAAATGCTTATGGTATTTCTCATGACCCAACTGCCAGAGGTGATACAACTACTTACTTGCGTGAACCAGTCGACTAATTTACGTGTTTGTTCCGTGATGATGAAAACTGGTAGCGTCTTTCCAGTCCTATTGCAGTTATTTTTCACTTTAAAGGTACCATGCACATGCATCACTATAGGTTAGCCCACTCAGCGGTGCTTCCATAGCAGCTGATTTCGATAGAAAAGAAAGTGATGTCGTCCACATTTTTTTAAAATCTGACACCTAACAGAATGTGTACTCCAATAGAATTAGGGTACACGAGCAAGTTAATCGCGATCACAAAGTTATTGAGAAGGTGAGAGATGGGGTAGCCAGGACACACTCCATTTTCAGTGCTAAACTCGGAATAGAGTTTCCCCGTAGATTTAAATAAAAACTGTGTTGTGGTGGTATGATAACTTTATAATACAGATGATAATTGTCAATCACGCCATTCATAGGTAAGCCCCCATGCGCAAATGCTATCGGCAGTGGAGGGTAACAGTGTGTAAATTATGAACTCTGATTGGCTTAAATCAACAGTGCTAGGGCTTGTCTCGAGGGCAACACCCTTGATCGCTGGTTTACTGTCGATCGTATCAAGACAGTCAGCCCCGGGTCAACAAGGTGCAAATCTGCCTGACTGCATTTTCGGTTGACTGTATTCTCAAGTACATACTTTAAGACGGCCGTCCTTGGTTGTCTCATTGATGGGCACTGTTGCGGACCAGCTGCAGAATTAATTGATGTAGCAACAGATCCGAAAGGCTCAGGTTCTTCATTTGCTAAACGAACTGCTTGTTAAGCATGGCAATTTTACGGTTGTCCATCGTTCTGGAAACCCTGTTTCCCGCAGGCTCTGTTTCAGTTTGCACCTGATGGTTCGTCTGGTCCAATTGGTTTCCGTGCCAGTAGGGAGTTTACCCCTGGATTCTAGTAGCTTCACAGAGCTCTCGGATATCCGGTGACTATTGCTGTGATGGTTGATGGTATCGCAAGCAGTGGCTCCCCTGCTGTGCATGGCTACCAAGGTGTGTATTCCACTAGAGCTCGATCTCTTTGTGGTGAGAGGGAGAAATATTGGTACACAGGGCTTGACTGATTGAGGTCTAGGGTAGTTTCTTATCCGCTCCTCAAGGGAGACGCTATTTACACTTCCCCATACATTTCATGAAAAAATGTCAGAGTATCAGGACATGCTCGGAATCGACGCACGTATTCCAGAACTCGCCACCTGAAACTTACAGCGATGTAATCTATTTCGATCAATCGCTACTCACTGTACCTGAACGTAGTGCTACTGTGTAAGCCGCTGCTTGGCGCACAGCTGAAATAAACATCCCCCAGTGTCCGTGTGTTCAGACTTAGGTTCACACTTACGGACATCTGAGCCTCTGAGGAATTCAGATCGTCCATGTATACATGTACTTCCCCTGTAGCTATAACGATATCTGAACTTGTGACACTGCGAAGTAGCTTGTTCACTTCGTGGTAGGTGCTCTTGGCGGCATCAGATTTTCACTCCGTGAAAGTATAAGCGTCAAGTACAAACAACCAACGTCTAGTGCTACTACCTCGGTTAACCTTAGGTGAGGTCATCAAGCGGTGTCAAGGTTAACTGTTCTGGAATTGGTCGATATCGTTGGTGGATGACGAGACGTTATGAAGGCGAATAAAGCCTACTCTATTATTATCAGTGTAGGTCTGTTCCAACTTAACCGGGTTACACGGGTCCGGGGAAGTCGTAACTCATCGAAACAACTGTTAATGAGAACATTGTCAAACGCATCCACTAGATTGTTGCCCGAAACATTTTAATAATCAGTTCGGTAGACCTACTGTGTTTGTTTGCGGGTCCATGTTACCTTGGGCGAAAAGCTACAGCCATTCCTCTTTTCGAGCAGGTTTCTCAGTGCAACCCGGACAAGACAACCCTTGTCCATCATTGTTGAACAGCACAGGAGAATGTAATGTCTGATCTATCTGATTTATTGAACATTCTATGTGACAACGTCGAGCTTCCATCTAGCAGAGGTTTATCAGCCGTTTTGTCCATCCTTAATAGCGCCACGGAATGTTGTGCGGAGATTTTTGGAGTGCTCGGCACCTTGGAATCGGTACTAGTACTGTGTACTTCTCAGTAACTCGAGATGCAGCTGGTCATATCAGCTTGCGACACTGCTTCTCCTTGAAGAATGTGCCATCATCACTCTCTTTTTCGACTCGAGATCGTATAGAGGTCTGTGTGGAGATGTCACATGGGTTCTCGACGATGCTCGGGTGCACCAGGATCGCGCTGTATTCTCTGTTCTCTTCACTTTTCGGACAGGTGTTCTGGGCTTGGGATGGAGAGTGGTGAAAACCCCTTCACGAGAGTATCACCATACCGAAGCATTCATTTCGTTAGCTCGCCGCTGAGTATACCATCTTATCGTCACATATAGTGTAGGCTCATGCGAAGTATCCTCATATCGACCACTGAGGCGATTACACACCCATACCTACTTCAGCCTACATCACTGCGTTTATTTACGTGAAACCAAAGCTTGGTCAACCGATGACGTATAATGCACGATGATGCGGACTTCATTAGGCTAGTGGCATTGGCATTGTGTTCACGAAAGTAGTAGTTGTTTAAATAACGCGATAGATCTTCTGACCTCTTGCACGTAACTGCCAAATTTCCAACCAATCGGTTTTATGGACTTTTGTCTTTCTTGTTCTACTCCTCGTTTTGTGCTGTTTTTGCATCTCATTTTTTCCATGTATCTTCTTTTTTGTATTGCGGCTTCTTTATTACCTCCAGCTAATGTGTACTGATGATGATGATTCCGCGCATTGCTTCTTCGCTATTGTTAGTTGTTATATAATCATGTCTATACTAGTGTGCTCATACCTACCTTTTTTAACATAGCCAGAATGAACTGGAAGTTTTGCGCCAGTATTAGGACCAACTTTTGTTCGGTTTGTGCGTCCCTCAATGTTTCACAGGCTTGTTGCGGCTGCTAGCTGAGTACTTACCTTGTTTCGAACACAACACCCACTTCACTACGTTTGTGACGCGTTCATGTTGACTTTCCATGACCTTTCCACCCATTTGTTTCATGGGCAATACAAAATCTATACAACTTATTACATCTTCCGTCATATTTTGCCGTTTTATAATAACTTAGTTTGTTTGTGTTTCCATTGATCGCTGTTCATTAGCTTTAATGCTACGTGTCTTGGCTATGCTCTAGCTTCCAACTGGCACAGTTTACTTCGGACGCGATCGATATGGTCGTCGTTCGCTCGTTGGACGATGTGGGCACAATACGTTGGGCGATCAAAGCCTTACGTTGGACGCCATCTCCAGCGTAGTGCTCCGATCTGTTCAATCAGGAGAGGATGACTCAAAATACGTGAGTGGTATTTCATTTATTATCATTATACACGTTTGTTAGAGGTGGATAAGATCTCAGCTACTGTGCTACCGGAGTGCAACACGGGGTCTTTGCTTTTTATTGTATTTATTTGACCTGTTCTCACTCGGGCCAACCGCATCTGTTTAAAGCGTAGCCGTGAGCGGCGTACACTCTCTAACTTCGGTCTGCTCAGGGTTTTGATGATTATTAGCGAACTTTGTATCTTAATCAATGGATCACACTGATTGCATCCAATCGATGCCCGCGCCTCGGGACTCGTTGGTCACGTTTGACCTCTTTTTCATCCCTGGATGGCACTCTCACTTACTTGTTCCACCACAAGCGCACAGACACAAGACTTTGGAGTTATCTTTTTTGGAACCAGTGTTTTCACTCCTTACGTCGCAATCCCCATTCATCTACCCGGTCACTCTGGTGGTTTGCAAACTCGCTAACACCCGCACTCATGGTTCGCGAGTAAAAGCAACCGATGCCGCTGTGTACGACCTTAACCAGGTTTGTGATTCAAAATGGTATGTTTCAGCTAAAGCTTACAAATGGTGTGGAAGTATCGTCCTAACTAGGTCGGGGATGTTTCTCGTTGTCTACACAGCGCGACAAATCCTACTGTCTGGTGGCATGTCACTTTACGCTTAATTTTACGTTCTACCCTTCGAATCGAACTTGGTTCCTATTTCAACCAACATAGCCAGCTTTCGCTACTTTAAGAGTAAATGAATATAAGTCGACATCACAGTAGGATTCGTTAGCCGTCTTGTAACCTTATAGTGCTACGTTAACTCCTTCACTTCACCAGTTCTGGTTCGTGAATTGAATACACATTGCAAACAAATAGACTAGTTCCTACTTGTATCACTTCTGCGAGTTTTTTGTATCGTTTTTCACATTCATATTGCTGCCGAACGTCTGCCATAGTGCGGGTCGTCCTCTTATCATGTACCTGGTTAAATGAAGCCCGAAGAGGGCCATCCAGAGATCGCGCCAAAGTGTGCGGTGACGTGACTTAGCATCTTTGTCGGATTTCCTTAACTCAGATTCTTTGAATAGGCCTCAAACTCAGCTGCATCAACGTATTAAGTCTATTTTTTGACGCTGCTTTAGCAGCAGCATTTGTTACGCCTCTTTCAGTCAAATGGATGTGATTCTTTTTCAGAGATAACAAAACTTCGCAAAAGAACCCATTATTTCCACTGGAAATCTATTTGAACCAAAGACATGCAACAGAGCCTAAGTAGTTTCTGAAACATTTAGGTCGATCACACTACGCATGCACCTTCTCGCCTATATTTTCTAGCTGCTCTAGGTTACTGACTTGACAAGTGACCTAACTGTTTTAGGGGTGAAACGTTCTTGGGTTCACCTACTAATTGCGTTGATTTTTGCGCTACTTACACCCTTTCAGTAGCTGGTCTTCAACACACTTTTGAGTCAGGTCGTCGACCTCTGATTTTGGCTGGGATTGGGGCTTGTGAGACCGAGACTGACACTGTATTTAAGAGCAGGTAGAAAGGCTTCTGTACAACTATGGTTTATGAAAAATCAAAAACATTTAAGTTGAATTTAGAGAGCACGCTGTGTGGTTGGGTTGCGACTCGCAACCTCTATTGAGACCTCGGATCACTTTGAGGTAAACCACGGTCCTTCCGATCTCGAGGACTGTATCCTGAATGGATATATTTGGGTGTTGCTCTTCCCAGTGTGCCACTGTTGGGAAGAGCAACACCCAAATATATCCATTCAAAAACATTTAGTTGTGGATCATCAGCGGTTGGGTCTAGTCAGTTAATCGTTTATCCTAGTTCGGTTACGAATTTTTATTGATGTCATTATTTCCGGGCATACGATGTTTTCTTTTGGCATTGTATGTGCATCGTTTCACAAAAGCACAGGTTTCCGAAATAATCGTCAATACGCGTTTTAAAACACTTCACAGAATCGGCCTCTATTACTACTTTTGGTAGTGTATTCCATCAGCTTACGATTTCAGAATGTTAGCGAACAAGCTCGTTTTCAGTGGTTCCTCATCAGGCTAATACACCACAAATGAATGACATGAACATAAACATCAGCTAAGATTGCAGGTTCAAAACCCAGATGGTCTGAGTGACCAAGCTAAGCGATTGGCCCCACGGCGATCAACAGTTTTTATATGTGTGTGTGTGCGTGTGTGTGTGTGGCATTGTCCACACTATGTATCCGTGTTACAGGGGACCAGGGTAGAGTTAGTGTCTGGACAAATTTCTTGTATGCACATAGGTTAGGGTCATGAAGCCTGATGGCTATCGCCTCGACCGCTGCCAGTAGACGACATCTAACCGCTCTTGTGTGGCATCTAGGTACGCGGTAGATGGGCTGGCACGTCTCATGCACTCTGACTTGATGGCTCGAGTCGATCAGATGTGTAGACACTGCGCTTGCCATTGATCTAGTCACGCCGCTATACAGCCAAGCTGGACAGTGTTCCCTGGCTCTCTCGGACAGTCTCCTGGTAGTTCTTCCGATATAACTTGATCGACACGAGCAAGAGAAAGAGTATACACAGAATGAAGTACTTGACCTTGGCATTCTATCCTTAAGTTGTTGATTCAGGGTCAGCACTGAGTAAAAGTTTAGCCGTAGGCTTGCTGCATAGTACGTTTGGGCGATTGCGGCAGAAAGTCTTCAAGACGTTGCTTCAGCCATCCCGTCCCCCTTGAACGGTAATGATATGTAGATCGGTCTCTTTTCTACTGAATCCACTTTTGCCTTTGCTTCTCGTACCTCTATGTTTCTCCAAACGAACCTCTCAGGATAGCCATTTCTATCTAATAGGCTTCGTACAAAGTTTAGCTCCCCCGAAAGCATGTCCTCACTATATATCCTACTTGCTCGCTCGGTTAGGCACCGAACAAGTTTCCGTTTCTGGCTGAGCAGTACGAAGCTGGCAAGCGGAGTATATTGCCCATTCCATTTTGTCTTTCGATGGACACTGCGCTGGACCCACCCATCAGATCTTCGGCTAATCTGAACGTCTAAGTACGACATTGAGTTGTTGCACTCAGATTCAAGGGTGCATTTTATGTTTGCATGGGCTGAGTTAAATTGCCTCACTAATTCATCCGTGCATAAATGACAATCTGAGATGCAGAATATATCGTCCACATACCGTCTGTAGTAGACTAATTTGTCGATAACTCCGTTTAGATAGTTGTTCTCTAACTGACTCATAAATACGTCTGCTAACAATGGTCCTAACGGAGAGCCCATTGCGACTCCGTCCTTCTATCTGCAGATCTTCCCGTCGAATAGCAATTGTACGTTCCTGGTACACATCAGAAGCAACTGTCTAAGTCGCTCGTTCAAGTGGCCGACATCCACATTGTGCAATCGAACAGCGTCGCAAAGGTAGTCTATCGTATCCTCCAGCGGAACATTAGTGAAGAGCGACACTACATCTAGAGAAAACATTTTCCTTCCGGTTAACTGCATATGGCTTATGGAGTCTACGAAGCTGAATGTATCTCTGATCGCCAATCGCCTAGCTTGGTCACTCAGACCATCTGGGTTTTGAACTTGTACTCTTAGCTGATGTTTACATTCATGTCATTCATTTATGGTGTATTAGCCTGATGAGGAACCACTGAAAACGAGCTTGTTCGCTAACATTTGTTCTGATGTCTACTCCCGGGATATTTTATAAGTTTACGATTCCTCGTTCGATACAAAGCTGATATGATACTTTGTTCACGCAGAAGACCCTGAGTTTGTAACGGTGTCCTCGGGTGTTACAGGGTTCCTGCAGTTGAAATATTGGCCGCAGTATGTGGAAATGGTTCAAGGGTAGTACTCGTTGTGTCATAACAAGGTCAATTTTTACTCGGTGGTAGGATAGTGTGTAGAGTCCGAGCCTTTCACGTTTTTCATACGGAAGCTATCGTAGACTCGGTATCATTCTAATTGCGACATGCTGTATTTTCTCCAGCTTTTCAGTTTCCCACTGGGTTATCGAATGGTAAGCTGGGGCACCGTATTCAAGGATTGGTCCAATGAGCGAGGTGAATAGACGAAGGATGGTTTCTTCGGACCATGTGGAGAAACTGCGTATTAATACTGAGAGCATATGAAGTCCCGCACGGTACAATTTCTCTGTATTTTCTAGTGATCTCATATCATGTCGTGAGAGAACTCCTAAGTCTCTGACAAATGTGTTGGCGTGGAGCGATTGGCTGTCCAAGGTGTATGATCGAGTGGCTGGACGTCTGGTGATACTGATGAACTCCGACTTGCTTGCGTTAAGAGGGAGTTGCATTTCAGTGGACCACGTTGACAGTCGCTCTAAGTCATGCTGGAGGCGATCGCAGTCGTCCTGGTTCTCAATAATTCTCCAGATTTTCAAATCACCTGCAAACAGGGCACATGGTGACTGGAGCTGCTGCGGAAGATCGTTGATATGAATAAGAAATATTACTAGCCCAAGTGCAGTTTCTTGAGACATGCCACTGGTCGATTGGAACCAGTCTGTCAGGTAGTCATTGGCCTGTACTCTAAAACTTCCTCCCACAATAAACTCATGTAACCATTGAAGTAACATGCCACTGATTCCGTATGTCCTCAGTTTACTAAGGAGTACCTCGTGGTTCACTCTGTCAAACGCCTTACTAAAGTTGATGTACATCACGTCAACATCCTTCTGTTCATTGAGAGCTCGTACTCACTGTTGGTTTGCGTACATCAAGTTGGTGATGCAGGATCACCCTTTCTTAAAACCGTGTTGTGCTGGCGTCAATACGTCCATCGATTCGAAGAACGACAGCAGACACTTTTTCACAACCTTCTCGAGAACTTTGGATGATATCGAAGTCAAACAGATCGGTCTACAGTTCTCTATTTTACTCGGATCACCACCCTTGGGAAGCGGTCTCACTATCGAGCATTTCCAGTCTTTGGGGACAGATCCTTCAGAGAGTGATTTATTGGATATGTTTGTCACTGCTGCTGAGACGATAATCGATGGGGACTTGAGTATTAGTGGGTGAAGTCCGTCTGGTCCGGGGGCTTTGAACCATCGAGGTTGACGAATAGCTGATGTACTTCGACTGCATCACATTGTAGGCTATCGAGCAAGACTTGCACAACCTATGCCGGTACTGGACCAGCCGCCGGTTTACTGGAAAGTATGGTGAGGAAGTGCGTAGCCAGGGCGTCCGCGCGCTCCGCGCTTGAAATGAGTGTCTTCCCGTCTAAGCTCTCTAAGACCGGTAGGTCGCCCTCAGGTTTCAATTAACATTTCACATAGATAAATATTCTTTTGGGTGCAGTTGTGGCCAAGGGTGATAGCTCCTCTTCGAAGTGCCGGCCTTTCTTGATCATTGCGACGTTACATAAGTTACGCTGTTGCTTGTACACCGTGTAATCTTCATCACAACCCGAGCTGATGTATCTGTCCCAAACTTTGCGACGCCGTCGCGCTGTCTATATTCCGTATCAAACCAGTGCGGCTTGACAGGTCCAGTTTTTGAATACTTCAGGGGAACGAACCGAGTACACAGCGAGTTAACCTTCCCCTTCATTAATGACGAACAGACCTCAAGCGACACATCCTGTGGTAATCCAGTCAGTCTGACTTGTGGCTTGGACGAGCCCGTTGAAATCCGTCTTCCAATAGTTGAATGTCGGCTTCCGTTGGTTGTAATACGGTAACGACAGTTCTAAGCTTGCCACAATGGAGCAGTGGTCACTGTTCGCAAGCGGTTCGATGACTGTGATCCCGTTCAGCTTCTGCTCGCAGCTCGTAAACATTAGGTCCAGGCAAGATGCCGAGTGCGGAGTTACGCGCGTTAGTTGGATGATATGTTACGTCGCCCCGATTTCAACAGTCATTTTAGCGAATTGAGCCTCAACGTTGCCATGACCGGGAAGAAGTCAAACGTTTGGCCAAAATACCTTAGGTAAATTTAGATCCCCCATCAGTAAGAATTGAGGGCGGATCATGTGCTTCTGTACATGTGGTAGCCAATCGCAGTAACGGTTTAATGGGCTAAGGTAGATAACACCCACTATTATTTCTGCCCGCCTGATTTGGATTGTGCACCACAATTGCTCGCATAAAATATCCTCGCTCCGATAAGTGCTGGTAAGTTTGCCAGATAGTGACGATTTTATGTACAACAGAACACCACCGTGAGCCTTTTATTTTTGATCGCATCGGAAACCAGAATATCCTGACGTCGGATTTCAGCCAAGTCTCTGCAAGTCTTGAAACATCCGGCCGCTCCGAGACAGCGAAGCGACACAGTTCGTCCCGTTTGTTCATTAGGCTGCACACGTTGGCAACTGCCACACGGACGTCCTGGGAGGTACTGCGGAACGTGCCTGGAGGTTGAGCAACCGGTTGATACGGGTTCGTACACCCTTCTTGGTCGCTTGAAAATTTACAATTTGTAAGTCAATCTCATCTTCCTCTGTACGGCGTTTGAACTCAATGACTATAGTCTTCAAACCATCCCTGTCTTCGAGTTCCAAATCTCGGCGGATGTGAACTTTTCTGCCTTTCAGCCTTGACAGACTAGACAGTATGAGCTGCGGCATATTGTGATTTGCAAAGGTGATCGTCAGATGTCGATCTGACAGGTTAGTTTTCTGGCCAAGTCGAATTACTTGTTTGCTCCTCACACTGTCTTCGCCCACATCCAAGAGTATATCGATGAGCCCTTGTAGGAACTCAACCTCGTGATCATAACGTATCTGAGTGTTTTCATCTTTTGACTCCAATAAGTGGAAGACCATGAGATTGTGACGCCTCAGCAAAATCGGTGACGAATCTGTGGGAGCAGAATTAGAGGTGCTAAACTGATTGGGTTGTTGTTTATCAGCAGGAGACGTCTGTACTGGATTACGTGACCTCTTGCGCTTTTGAATGGTCCATGAATTCTCGGTGTTCAGAAGTTCACAGACAGGCTCTGAGAAATTCACGGACCGATCAGTGAAGCGGCATTTCGTTGATTCCGAGTCTGAGTCTTCCTTCGTTGGGGAACATTGAACCTGAGGTTCGGCCGTGGTCGAAGATGCTGGTGGTGGTGCAGATCGCGGAGTGACAAGAGAAGGCGAGATGACAGGTACTTTCACGAGGGCGCTTGACTCCACGTGGTGAACGGTTTGTTTCTGTCTGAAAGAGATTTTCTCGTAGTTGTTGGCAGTCGCTGTGTGTTCTGAAGTCTTGCACCGCGACATTTATCACATATAACTTGAAAAATACCGATGTCGGATGTCGAGAGATTTCCGAAACACGTCAACGGATAAGCCAATGCACGAAATATGGAACAAAACATCGCAGCCGAAGCACCGAAGTGCATGAGCCTTATTTCCCACAACTTTCGAACACAAACCAGAAGTAGCTTGAGACGGCATCACAAGGCAGAGCGAATCCAAGATGGCGGACAGAGATGGCAGTAGGGCAAATCAATGAGATCTCCGGAATAAGCCAAAGAATAGCCACCAAATTTGCACCGATTGGAAAATACTCCAAAAGAAAAATATTGGTGCACAATTCACACAGAAAGAACCCTGATAATACAGTAATTCGAAGCAAAAGTAGTATCTAGCACATGGTGATCTAAAAATCCGCGACGTCCGTGAGATCGTTTCTACCACGATCGCTAGGAAGGAGAACATTCAGCAACATTTCAGTGATTACCTTATAGTTATGTGGCAGCAGTTAACTGCATTAGTGGCTCTTTATCACTACTCTCATCTGCATGTAATATAAAATGTCCATATATTGTCCAGTACTGATTTCATAATCAGAGGCATAGGAACTATATTTTGTGCACATGAATAGATCTCTGGAATTTAATCGCAGACGGATGTGCAGAATCATCCTTATCTGGTGGAGCATCCGTTTTAGTGACAGCTGTGTAGTTTGTGTCTGGTACAAGCTCTCTGGCGCCCTGTTGCACCGTCCGTTGGGCCATCCATATGATGAGGTCATTGTTTTCCTCTTTCATCCTCTCGCCTATCTAGACTCGTGTTGCTTGCTGGTACTTCATCAGTTTGAATAGAGTTCTACTTTGGTCAGCCAGTGTATTGATGAGACACGAAAACTCACTTCGTCCTTGTACTGAGCATGTGTGTTCCTAGTTGGGAAACTTTGGGATTTGTTGCATGACAAGTTTGAAGCGTTGACCGATGTGTTTGCAATCAGAAGTGTTTTAAAGCTGTTACACTCAAAATTCCGTTTCCAGTTAACTGTTTTCATTTGCATTTTTTCGAGTAAGTAGGAGAACTTTTACGGAATGTTTACTGATTCGTCACATCAGCTCACAAACCAGCTAGTCTAACCACCATTTCGTAAAATAATCAGACAGTTGTTTTTTCCCCTTGAGGCTAGTCAGTGATGCGCATCCTCCTCCATCAGAAAGTGAATCCATGGCCACTGGCAGCTTGCATCACTAACCAGCAGCTTATGCTACTGAAGCATGACAGACGGTTTTTACTATCAGTGTGACGCCAAACAAGACAATCATACCCTGATTTCGATGTTCTGATTTCTGCTGAGTATTTATTGTTGTTTACCTTAACTGAACTGCTCTGTCTCTTCTAACTTTTGTGTGTGACGACTCTAGCTTTTGTCCCTTCATCTTTAGGTATTATCATCATTATTACTTTTACTATCATGATTATTCCTTTTTGCGATATTTGTCCAGGTGACCGGATTCACCGCGCTCTTGTGCTTGGAACATATATGATCAGTTGATGTTATGCGTCAAAAACGAACAGTCACTCGTTAGACATAATGGAAAACCGTTTGATAGAACGGCCCTCTTGCCGTCATTCTTCACTTTATACATGCATATTATTATTTGACGTTGTCACGCGAGATTTTTAAAATTAGCCCATAGAGGACCGGGATGTGCAGACACGATGTCTCATGCTGGCAACCCACACTGCTGGGCTCTATTCCCTACGGCGTCGGTAGAAGGGCTAAGTGAACGAGAAAATTCGTGCTAACCGAGTATCTGGTTCTTAATGGGCACGTAACTGCATCTGCAACCTATTCAGTAATTCTAAATAAGACAATAAGAAGACTGGTATTGCGAGATGGTACCATTTCATGTTATCTGTTCACTCGCAAACTAACAACAGATAGATGAATCACGTGACAGAAAAAATCGAAGATTTGAAACTGGTCACAAAGGGAAAAATTACGTAGACACAACAATGACAGATTAGCATCCTGATGTTAGGGTCATGAGCCCCAAGGAAGCTTCAGGGAGACTGTTAATTGTTTTTGCACGCATAGGATAGGGCGATACCGGTTAAGTGCCACGGCTTCGGCAAACCTCAACACTTTGGGGTTGTCATTGCGATAGATAACTGTAAATGTTGACCTGGGGTCAACCTGATGGTCCTAGATACTTGACGTTCTACACATTGGCTGATGGCGTTTTTCCATTATCTTGGGTTTTTGTTATTTTCGCTGATCATACATAACGTTCATCCATCAGTTTTCCATCCCATCCTTACATTGTCCAAACTAATTGCTTCCGTTGCTTTGTCGTTATCAGCTTACACTTGCACACTCGTCAGAGGGTTAGATGTTTTCCTGGTCTCTACTTCTCTGAGAAAACTTTTGCTAGTTATGCGTCATCTGTTGTGCATATAAGCCTTAACATTGACTACGTCGTTACAACAGCATCTCTGATAACTCTTGATAACCGATATGCGAGTTATTGTTTTGTGTACCATATTCACCAAGACTACTGCTTGGTGTCTTCGAGATTTTCAGCCGCGTTCTACATCTGTTCATTGGCATCAGCCATATTGCTCTCACCCTCGAAATATTTTTATTCATCTCTATGCAATCCAGGTGCATCAAATGTGGGTCGAGCTCCCGGCTTCCGGCGTCTTTTCAGGGCACCTTCGACTTGTCGACCAGGGCTGGTGTATTGCTGACATTACTCTACACCCATGGTCCCCGGAGCACTCTGCGACATTTCCCTCTTTTGGATTAAGCGTCGCGCGAATTGCATCCCCCTTGGCTCCGTTGGTCGACAACTGGCTGGAACGAAACGTTCACCCTTCACAAGATATCAGCCAGACATTACTTGATCTTCTCTCATCGGCTGTGAAAGATCGTGTCTGCCTTGCGTCATCTTCCTGTTCCGATTGCTTTCGTGAGATTCTCCAGCCTCCCTATCAGACCCAACATGCTTGCACGCACTCCAGATTCGCCGTGTTATTTTCCGGAGGCATTGACTCTACGATACTTGCAGTTCTATGTCACCGGTACGTTTACACACTCGTTTCTGACATTCGCACTCCACAAGTTCGGGTCTTGTTGACATCTTTCTCAATGATTGCGTTCTACTAGCACTTTCATACCTCTCGATTGGACTCCTTAAGAGCTGATACGTTTGAACAGTTGGATCGCTCATCATACATACCAGTAACAATGCATCGATATTTTGTCCTGCTGTTTCGATGCAATACAGCCTACTATTATTGGTGAATAGTATGTAGCGAGCTGAAAGACCCAATGTAAACCTTAGATTATGGTGTAGCCCTCCGAAGGCGCTAACAGTCAAGTTGAGTTTCGATCAACGTACTATTTATAAGTTATGATGGATGACGAATTTAGCAAAGTATCGTGTCTCGCGGTCTGAACAGTTTTCTTACGATCATCATCGGCTGTCCCATAGTCTCGGGCTACTACCACGACGAATCCTGGGTGGTCCAATTGAGCCAAGAAAATGTAAGCTGTTGCCACTGCTGGAGACGCCCGTAGACCATTTTATCTCATCAGATCCACTTGATGCAAATCACATGCCATCATTGAGACAATCTATGCGTTATATGGTACGAGGATCATTAGTCTACGCAAGCGTCTGGATCGCTGAGCACTTTGCCACTCAATTTAATTATCCACCTTAACCACCGGTAACCTCCTCTTTGCTATCATATAGTGCATGGCCCGTGTGCACAGATTCTCCCATCGAGGCTGCGACTCGGATCGAAATCCAAACTTTGAAATGATACAACCCCCAGGCCCTGACTACCTTTCTTCGTCCCTATTCAAAGATGTAGGAAATACAGTTATTAGCGAACTGCTCTTGTTTTTCACGAAGGTGTGAGTCGGTGAGAAGATCCCTAACCCTTGGGGTGAATCTGTTGTGGTCCCGATTCACGCGAAAGGCTCCCGCAGCGATTTCGCCAACTACCGAGTAATTTCACTCATATCAGTCGCGTCTAAAGTTTTTGTGTCCATTTCGCCCCACAGACTTTCAGCTACTCAAAAGAGTTTGTATCGTGAGGAACAAGTTGGTTTTCGCAGCGCTTGAGGTTGCATCGATCAGATCTTCACGCTGCGTTAAATTCTTGCATATCGTCACGTCCACCAAAGATCAACAGTGGTGATGTTTTTGGACATCCACGCCGCCTTGAACTGCATAGATGGAACATCTCTTTGGAACTGTGTGCTACGGAGCGGTGTACCCGACAGATTTGTCACAATCCTGAAAAACCTCTATCGTCACACTTAGGATTATTGAAGGCTTTCTTCATCTTTTCATGCTACCAGCGAAGTACGTCAAGGTTGCCTTATCTCACTATTCTCATTCAACTTTGTCATCGACCATGTTCTCTACCGCACTCTGGAAGGAGTCGAGAACTGCAGCGTTGAGCTCCTCCCCGGGGACAGAGTTTGGGACTTGGGTTATGCTGATAACATCGCTATGCTGCGGTGGTACCCACAGGCCATGCAAAACGTCTTGAACCGCTTAGCAATCAAGGAATCTAAATATAGTTGTATTTTGCCCTATCCAAGTGTAAAGCCATGCTCCACGATTGACAAGTGCCGCTGCCGACACTCACAATTGCAGGTGCTTGCCTAGAGCAAGTGAATCGCTTCATTTATCTCGGGAATTGTATAACGCGGGTGACGGTGTTGGAGGTGAAGTATCTCAGCGAATCACTTAATCCCGCCTGACATTCATTAATTTGAAACACCTGTGGCGCCACCGCGACATCCATCTAAAGCTCATAGACAGTATACAATGCGATCCTGCTGTACGGCTGCGTTACCTGGCCTACTCGCGCAGAAGATCTGAAAAGGCTATCATCTTTCGACAACACGTGATTGCGAACGATTGTTGGTGTATGGTGTCAACACCATGTAAGCAACTCGGAAGTTACATGTCAAGTACTCTGAACGAACGATCTCGGCATCCGGAGCATTACTCTTGAACACCGTTTTCATTGGCTCTGTCACGTTTAGCGCACGCCAGCCACTCGAATTCCTTGCCGAGCATTATTTACAATTCTTGGGCGTGAGTGGGAAAAATGCCAGGGCGGACAACCGATGACGTGGAAAATGAACTTCAGGAATGTCAACATGTTTGAGATCAGCAAGATCTATCCGTCTTCCAGGTTAGGGACCACATGATGGGGACTCTGAATAGTTGGAAGTTTTGAAGGCTATGGCTCGTAACAGAATTTTGGCGTCAATGCTGTTCTGACATTTCCCTTTCATCCAACATTCAATTTTAACGAACGAAAAATTTAAAATGACGTTTGTGAAAGACTAAAAAATGACTAAAGGAAAAGCCGTTTTCCTTTGTTTTTTTTTGAGGAATTGCTTCTCCATACCATTTTACAGCCATGTTTCTAATCGCACGTTTATCTGTTCTCAGACGTGAATAAATAAATAAATTAACACACAGTGTTGCAAAGAGATCTCTTTTCGGCAGATCACATCAGGCAAATACAACTACAGGACTGTAAAATGCATTAGTAAACTGGTGCAAGTAACAAGGAGGACGGATGGGACGATTTGAACAGTTTTAGTATGTTCATTTGATGCTCGAATCGATTTAATCAGGTGACATCGTGATCGGGCTAACCGACAGCTAAATAACTTGTGTAAACAGAAAGGGCAAAATTACTAACCAAATAAAATTAGTTAATTACGCAAATAAATAACACCCGGTTAAGCGAGATACTCCGGGGAACCTTATCATCAGGGCCATGGCAAAGTCAAGGGTTGCACGAGCACCCTATGCTTGCATAGCTCTGGTTGTGTTAGCCTGATCGCGATGGCTTCAGCTGTCTGCAGGAGGCGTTTCCTTAGCCCTTTCGGGTATCGCCTCGGTACGGCATAATAGACTTTGAAAGCATCTTTTGTCAGAATCTGATGCCCACTAAGAATCAGATGCTTCATAATTGAGCTGTTGATACTTCTGTGCATGCCTCTCCGCAATGACCCTGGACAATGTTCAGCCATTCGTACCGACAGACGCCTGGTCGTATGCCCGAGGTACTTTGCACCACAGGTGCAAGTAAACTGGTAAACAATGTACGATTCGGACGACACTGGCAGTCTGTCTTTAAGGCGTTGAGCTATAAAGGGAGCGGTCTCTGCAACTACATGCGGTTGGGCGGCCGGGTAGGTTCTTGCTACGGCATTAGAAAGTCTTCTGTTCAGGAGATCGAAGGCGATATCTCCCTTAAAAGGAACAGTGAGAAACACATCCTTCTTCGGAACCGTTGCTACGGGCTTATCCCGCTCACGGGTCATGGCATGCTTTTTGATGAAAGGCTCTGGGTATCCATTCGCAAGAAGTGTTTTCACAACTCGGTCCTTCTCATCTTCGAGAGTTTCGGGACTACAAATTTTGGTGGCCCGGTAATTCAAGCAACGTACTAAGTTGCGTTTGTACCTCAGAGGGACAAAGCTCGAAAAGTGTGTGTACTGTCCTACCCAAGTAGCTTTGCGGAAGACTCTACGCTCAAGTGATCCGTCCTCGCGCCTCCTCAACGAAACGTCCAGAAAAGCCAGCTTACCTTCATTCTCCATTTCACTAGTGAATTTTATTAAGGGGTGTGCACTGTTGAACTGGTCCAGCAAATGGTTGACATCAATGTGCGAATCACAGATGATGAAAGTGTCATCCATATACCTCCAATAAGAATCAAATGAGGCAATAAGCCTTTGGATGGGCCCGCGCTCAAGCTTAGCGAGAAAGATGTCGGCAAGAAGAGGTCCAAGCGGGGACCCGAAAGGGCTAAGGAAACGCCTCCTGCAGACAGCTGAAGCCATCGCGATCAGGCTAACACAATCAGAGCTATGCAAGCATAGGGTGCTCGTGCAACCCTTGACTTTGCCATGGCCCTGATGATAAGGTTCCCCGGAGTATCTCGCTTAACCGGGTGTTATTTATTTGCGTAATTAACCAATTTTATTTGGTTAGTAATTTTGCCCTTTCTGTTTACACAAGTTATTTAGCTGTCGGTTAGCCCGATCACGATGTCACCTGATTAAATCGATTCGAGCATCAAATGAACATACTAAAACTGTTCAAATCGTCCCATCCGTCCTCCTTGTTACTTGCACCAGTTTACTAATGCATTTTACAGTCCTGTAGTTGTATTTGCCTGATGTGATCTGCCGAAAAGAGATCTCTTTGCAACACTGTGTTTTAATCTTCCATGGGCATTATTTATGAAATAAATAAATGTCCCTCGTGTTGTTCTCCGTTTCTGCAGGTCACTGGTTGTACGGCAGCGACGCATCAGTTCTAATGGTAATGTACTGCTGTTGATAATAAGGATGTTAGCGAACACTTCATGTTGATCAATTGTAGTAGCCTAATATATTCCACTTCTTTGTCCAGCCTGTACTGAGTTTGTTTAACTTTACTTCACTTCGAGCTCCTATAATGCAGTAGGTTGGAAATCTAACAAGCCACGTGAGTTAGTCGACGAAAGATGGGCAAGACGTATGGTATGGTATGGTATGGTTACGATTGTAAACTAATGTATCTCTTTAGCTTTGCTCTGTTCCTTCTTGTGTCTTGCAATATAATGGCGATTTTGTTTTAGGACGGGGTACCTTTCCTCCCTTTATAAATGACCATTTCTCTATTTCATGTCATTGCTACTATATTCGAAGCACTGTTCCATTTTAGTTGCCTAAACTCTGTGTTCTGCATCCCATTTGAGTCCGCTTTTCGTATCTTTAGTTGCACCCTCATTAATCTTTTGCTCTTGGTTCCTTTTTTTTCCTGCATCTTGTCCCAGTGAGATTGCTGTTCCATGACTCCTCACTTGACAAGGTATTTCCTAGGTAGGTTGTCAAAAAGATCACCGCCCCGAACCTTTTGCCTACTGGTCCCACACCAAAACGCAGGAAGGCAAGATGAGGGTTTCGCACCCAGTTGGAACCGTTGGTTGAACACTCAGTTCATACGACTTTTGGTTGGCGTAAAGTCACACTCCAGAATTCATATGCA